ATACATACATACGCGCACACATACATACATGCATGCATGCATAAACACATGCATATATATATATATATATATATATATATATATATATATGCATCCTGGCACAAAGCCCAACCATATGCTGCTGAGAAAACCGTTATTATGAATGCCATCTTCGCCTGCGCTCCCTGTGGGGCCACGAACCAGGCGAGGGGCGTGCCGACATGCGAAGCGGGGCACACAACGCGAGCGAAGACGATCGGTCTGTGCGCGAGAGACTGAGAGCGAGTGAATCTGATTGTAGATGAGTCTGCCCGCGCGCGAGTCTACGTGCATAAATATCGACGCCCATGTCGGCGCGCTTCTCACGAGGATCGCCCCCGTTTCCTTCCCGTTCTGCGTTTCCCTCTTTGCCCGTGCACGCCCACGTCCAAGGCTGCGGGCGCGGCGCCGCACGGAGTCCCCGCGACGCGCGCTGGTCGCCGGGAAGGGGTCCCGGCGACGCGCGCGGGTCGTCCGCTGCGCGGAGCAGAGAAAGCGAGCAGGCTGGCTCCCGCCCGGGATGCGCGGCCCGAAAGCGGCCTCAATACGTCGAATACGGCGAGAAACCTCCAGAAATCGAATGTCGCCGCCATGCGAACTCCGCCACTGGGCCGCCATGCGAGTTCCGCCACGGAAACCTTAGGCGGAGCTCCCTGTGGTAACACGAAACGCTGTACTGGGTGGTGGATGACGCATGCGGGCGGTCCCACTGGGGCCCCCTTATGGGGCCACGAAACGTTGTACTGGGTGGTGGATGGCGCATGCGAGCGGTCCCACTGGGGGTTTCGGTGGAGCCCTACGCGGCCACGAAACGCTGTACTGGGTCGTGGATGACGCATGCGGGCGGTCCCACTGGGGCCTTCGGTGGAGCCCCCTGTGGTAACACGAAACGCTGTACTGGGTGGTGGAGGACGCACGCGGGCGGGCCCAATTGGGCCTTCGGTGGAGCTCCCGATGGGGTCACGAAACGCTGTGCTGTGCGGTGGATGACGCACGCAGGCGGTCCCACTGGGGCTTTCGGTGGAACTCCGTATGGGGTCACGAAACGCTGTGCTGGGTGGTGGATGACGCATGCGGGCGGTCCCACTGGGGCCATCGGTGGAGCTCCGTATGGGGTCACGAAACGCTGTACTGGGTGGTGGATGACGCATGCGGGCGGTCCCACTGGGGCCTTTGGTGGAGCCCCCTATGGGGCCGCGAAACGCTGTACTGGGTGGCGGGCGGTCCCACTGGGGCCTTCGGTGGAGCCCCCATACGGGGCCACGAAACGCTGTACTAGGTCGTGGATGACGCATGCAGGCGGTCCCACTGGAGCCTTCGGTGCAGCCCCCATATGGGGCCACGAAATGCTGTGCTGGGTGGTGGATGACGCATGCGGGCGGTCCCACTGGGGCCTTCGGTGGAACTCTCTATGGGGCTACGAAATGCTGTGCTGGGTGGTGGATGACGCATACGGGCGATCCCACTGGAGCCTTCGGTGGAGCTCCCTATGGGGTCACGAAATGAAGGAGGAGCGGGAGGAGGAGGAGGAGGAGGAGGAGGAGGAGGAGGAGGAGGAGGGAGGAGGAGGAAGAAAGGAAGGAAGGAAGGAACGCGGGGACCGTCTCTTCAAAACGACGACCCAACACCACAGGATGGTTGGGAAAAAAACAGACATGCACATCAACGGCGCGATGGCAAAATGTGAAGACGCAACGCTCTGGTCGAACCAGGCGCGAGAATGGGGGAGGAGGACGAGAACATGCCTGGACGGTCCAATGCGGAGACCAGAAGGCTGGACTTTTCTGAAGCCATCCTCATTTTTCGAGGATCGCGAGCAGGCGGCTGGCATTGCATTCCAGCGGGCCGCACGGGTCCGGTTATGTGCTGAAGCCACCTCCCCCTCTCTCTCTCCCCCAACCTCCTTCACTTCTCCCCCTCCCTCTCAGTGTCCCCCTTCCTCTCCCCCCTCTGCCTCCACCGTCGATCTTCACATCACCCCATTCCCCTCCCCCCTCCCCTCCTCTTGCATGTACATAACCACTTGTGAAAGACAGGCGGCCAGCTCCATAGTGGTGGCTTACCCTCCTCCTCCTCCTCCTCCTCCTCCTCCTCCTCCTCCTCCTCCTCCTCCTCCTCCTCCTCATCATCATCATCATCATCATCATCAGCAGCAGCAGCAGCATCATCATCATCATCATCATCAGCTGCAGCATCATCATCGTCATCATCATCATCATCATCATCACCACCACCATCATCATCATCATCATCAGCATCATCATCATAATCAGAATCCGCATCGTGAGAGTGGTCGCAAACCACGCGGAAAACACAACGCAAATACACAACGCGGCGCGACGTAATACACAACGTAGAAACACAACGTAAAACACGACGTGAATGCGCGTTGTGTATTTACACTGTGTATCACGCTGTGCGTTTACGCTGTGTGTACGCACGCTGTGTATTTATGTTGTGTTTACGTTGTGTATTTACGCTGTGTGTGTGTTTGCGTCCTGTGCGTGGTGTCGTTGTGTGTGTGAGCGGCGTTATGTATCTGCGTTGTCTGCATGCGTGGTTCTGCGGACCTAGCACTCCGCAATTGAGGATGACAGTGAAGGGGCGGGCAACGCGTTTCGGCTCTCACTTTCGCGCCGCTGTGCTCCGACAGCCCGACACGTTTCAGTGGGCTTGCGAAGTGTTGTGTATTTACGTTGTGTGTATGCGTGGTGTTGCAAAATGTGCTTTTCCATTGCGAACGTGCGCAACGTTCTGCATCTACGTTTCGCATTCGCGCATCGCGGCGTAGTGCTGTGTATTTACGCTGTGTATACGTGCGGTGTTGTGTATGTACGTTGTGTATGTGAGCAGTGTCGTGTATCTACGTTGTCTTTGTGACTGGTGTTGAATATATACGCTGCGAAAATTTCTGCATTCGCGCAGCCTGGAGTATCTCTGCGTATTTACGTTGTGTATATGCGTGATGTTGTGTATTCACGCTGTGTATATGCGTGATGTTGTGTATTCGCGCTGTGTATATGCGTGCTGATGTGTACTCGCGCTGTGTATATGCGTGCTGTTGTCTATTCACGCTGTGTATATGCGTGCTGTTGTGTATTCGCGCTGTGTATATGCGTGCTGTTGTGTATGCACGCTGTGTATATGCGTGATGCTGTGTATTTACGCTGTGCATACGCGTGCTGTTGTGTATTTACGCTGTGCATACGCGTGCTGTTGTGTATTTACGCTGTGTATACGCGTGCTGTTGTGTATTTACACTGAATATACGCGTGCTGTTGTGTATTCACGCTGTGTATATGCGTGTTGTTGTGTATTTACGCTGTGCATACGCGTGCTGTTGTGTATTCACGCTGTGTATACGCGTGCTGTTGTGTATTTACGCAGAATGTACGCGTGCTGTTGTGTATGTACGCTGTGTATACGCGTGCTGGTGTGCATGTACGCTGTGCATATGCATGCTGGTGTGTATGTACGCTGTGTATACGCGTGCTGTTGTGTATGTACGCTGTGTATATGCGTGCTGGTGTGTATTTACGCTGTGTATATGCGTGCTGCTGTGTATTCACGTTGTGTGTACGCGTGCTGTTGTGTACTCACGCTGTGTATATGCGTGCTGTTGTGCATTCGCGCTGTGTATATGCATGTTGCTGTATATTCGCGCTGTGTGTATGCGTGCTGTTGTGTATTAACGCTGTGTATATGCGTGGTGTTGTGTATTTACGCTGTGCATACGCGTGCTGTTGTGTATTCACGCTGTGTATATGCGTGCTGCTGTGTATTCGCGCTCTGTATATGCGTGTTGTTGTGTATTCACGCTGTGTATATGCGTGATGTTGTGTATTTACGCTGTGTATATGCGGGCTGTTGTGTATGTACGCTGTGTATACGCGTGCTGTTGTGTAGTTACGCTGTGTATATGCGTGATGTTGTGTATGTACGCTGTGTATACGCGTGCTGCTGTGTATTTACGCTGTGAATACGCGTGCTGTTGTGTATTTACGCTATGTTTACGCGTGCTGGTGTGTATTTACGCTGTGTATATACGTGCTGTGTGTATGTACGCCGTGTATACGCGTGCTGTTGTGTATTTACGCAGTGTATACGCGTGATGGTGTGTTTGTACGCTGTGTATTTGCGTGCTGCTGTGTTTTTACGCTGTGTATATGCGTGCTGTTGTGTATTTACGTTGTGTATATGCGTGTTGCTGTGTATGTACGCTGTGTATATGCGTGCTGCTGTGTATTTACGCTGTGTATATGCGTGCTGTTGTGTATTTGCGCTGTGGATTATGTTATGTTGACGTTGTGAATTTACGTTGCGTATTATGTTTCACTGACGTTGTGTATTTACGTTGTGGTTTACGTACGGTTGAGATTTTCGTTTGATGGGTTTGTGATCACCATCCAGCATCATCATCATCATCATCATCATCATCACCATCATCAGCATCAGCATCATCATCATCGTCATCATCATCAGCATCATCATCAGCATCATCAGCATCACCATCATCATCATTATCATCATCATCAACATCATCATCAGCATCATCAGCATCATCGTCAGCATCATCATCAGCAGCAGCAGCATCCTCATCATCATCCGCATCATCATCATCATCATCATCATCATCACCATCATCATCATCAGCATCATCATCGTCATCGTCATCATCAGCATAGTCATCATCATCCGCATCCTCAGCCTCAGCATCAGCATCAGCATCATCATCATCATCATCATCATCATCATCAGCATCATCATCATCCTCTTTCCTGCCAGAGCTGCTGCTGGCCGCGCGCTCTGCTGGGCGTCTGACACGCCGTCTGTCACACCGCATGTAGAATGGCGCATTTGTCTAACATTGCCACATGTTGCTGCTGATGTGGGCCTGGCGCCTTGCCAGGGCAGGCGGGTCACCTGCCTCCCTCTGGGCCGCTCCGTGCGTCCTCCTCTCATTCCACCCCTATCCCCCTCCACCCCTCTCCTTCCCCTGGCGGTGGCGCCCTCAGCTGCGTGCTCTGGCGCCGAAGATCAAACGCCGACGACCGCCACCGCGACCGCCAGTGCAGCCGCAGCGTTGCCGCAGGCTGCCGACGGCGGGCCGGGCTGAGCAGAGTGGCGGAGAAGAAAACAAAGAGAGGGAGAAGAAATAGGTTGAGGTCGGAGGAGGAGCAAATGAACCCGATCGCATCTCTTCAAGAAGTGAAGACAACACAGGTGGCGGCCGTTTCTCTTCTCCTCCTCCTCCTCCTCTTCCTCCTCCTCCTCCTCCTCATCATCACCATCACCACCACCACCACCACCACCACCATCATCGTCATCATCATCATCATCATCATCATCATCATCAGCATCATTATCATCATCAGCAGCATCATCATCATCAACATCATCATCCTCATCCTCATCGGCATCCTCATCCTCATCATTATCAGCAGCAGCAGCATAATCATCATCCTCATCCTCATCCTCATCACGATCACCATCATCCTCATCCTCATCGTCATCACCAATATCATCCTCATCATCGTCCTCATCCCCACCATTACCATCATCATCATCATCAACATCATCATCAGCATCATCACCATCATCATCATCATCAGCATCATCATCATCGTCATCATCATCACCCTCATCCTCATCCTCATCCGAGTCGTCATAAAAATAACAAAGCATCCTCATCATCATCCTCATCCTCATCATCCTCGTCCTCATCCTCCTCCTTCTCCTCCTCATCATGATCATCAGCAGCATCGTCATGGTCATCGTCATCGTCATCGTCATCGTCAGCATCATCATCATCAGCAGCATCATCTACATCACCATCATAATCATCATCATCATCAGCATCACCAGTATCGTCATCGTTATCGTCATCATCAGCATCGGCATGATAATCAGAATCATCAGCATCATCATCCTCACCACCACCACAATCATCATCATCATCATCATCAGGAGCATGATCGTCATCATGATCATCATTATCTTTATCATCAGCATCATCATCATCATCATCAACACCACCATCAGCATCATCAGCATCATCGTCATAAGCAGCAGCATGAGTATATGTGTATTGCCATCATCACCATCATCAGAATCATCCTCATCGTCATCATCATCCTCACAGTAGTCGTCGTCGTGATCGTCATTACCATCACATCCTCATCATCATCAACACCACCATCATCGTCATCATCATCAGCATCATCATCAGCAGCAGCATCATAATCCTCATCAGTATCATCATCATCATCATCATCAGCAGCAGCAGCACGTCAACAACATCATCAGCAACGTCGGCATCATGACCATAACCAAGCACAACATCACAATAACTGGCATCATCAACAACATAATCAGCATCATCATCATCAGCAGAATGACCAGCATCATCATCACCATCACCATCACTGTCATCCTCAGCATCGTCATCCTCAAGCTCAGCACCATCACCATCACCATCACTATCACCACCACCACCACCACCACCACCATCATCATCATCATCATCATCATCATCATCATCATCATTGTCGTCATCGTCATCGACATCGCCATCGTCGTCGTCGGCGCTGACGGGATCATCATAATCTTCATCATCATCATCAACATCATCATCAGCAGCAGCATCATCACCAGCATCATCAACACCACCATCATCATCAGATCGCAAAAAGTATCAGCATCGTCGTAACCATCTTCATCGTCATTGTAATCAGCATCGTCTTACGTATCATCACTACCGCCATCATCATGATCAACGGCGTCGGCATCACCATCATCACGATCACAATCGTGTGACGTGTCTGTCTCGTCCACCACACCACCTCCTCCTCATCATCATGTGTTCCTACCCTCATCATCGCAAGTCATCATAATTGCATTCATCTTCGTATTCATTCCCATCACCAGCACGAACATGGCGCGGACGATCATGTCGCATGTTACGGCTCTCCAAAGCCTCGGGACACGAGATGTCCACGTGACGGCTTATGACGGCTTCCTGTAAATTGCCACCCCAGGTCCTGGGCTGGCACGGTGGCGGGACTTGCCGCAGACAGGTGGATACTCGTCGCGCATGTCTCAAAATCTATACCATTGTCATCGCTATGATTACCCCTGGTGTCATTGATGCGTCGTGCCCTCTGGATATGTCTTTGTTTTCCTCCACAGGCTCGGCGCTCAAGATCAGATCAGCTCCAATCTGTTCAGCTGATGTGCAAACCCGACGCGCTTTGAGTCGAATAAGTGGCCGACTGCCTGCACCCACAGGTTCCGCACCGCCAGGACATCCTCGTTCAGGCGAAACCACGGGGTGCGCCGGGCACTCTCCCACCGCATTTCCTTGAATTTGGGCTCAAAAAACACATTCAGAGCGATGCGTCTGGAGTCGCCGTTGACGATGTGGTGGTAGGCGTTGGCAGGAATGACCACTCCGTCGCCTGGCTTTATTTTCATGTGATAGATGTATACCTTGTTGTCGATCCGTGCTGCCTTTTTCCGGATCCAATCACCGATGCCAGCGGTTTCGTAGTCATGATCGTAGTTGTTACGGATGGTCACGGAGCAATTGGACGAGAACGCAAATAGGTGAACTGTGCCGGTAATCTGGATTAAAATATTGTCATACGCGTCGATGTGCATCAACCCTGGTGTAATGCCAGTCCACAGAAAAGCGTGGGCGTGCTGCACAGCATCGCCCAGGCCCAGAGCCTGCCCATAATCGACGTCGTGGAAGATCTTCAGGCGTCGCGTGTTGAGGTTGTGCACCTTTACGCTCTCGCTGGGCCTGATCCCAGCCAACCCCCTGATGAGCTTGCCCTGCTTCTCCAGTATATTCCAGCCGTACTCCTCCGTGGTAAATCTCAACGACAGATTTGCGAATTCATCCAAACTGATCGAGGGAGCGACGCACTCGTTCTGCAGCATCCACGGGGCGATGGCTCGGATCGCGACAGAGACGTTCTTGTGGTTCGGCCCCCATTTCGGGTAGTTCTGGAGCGTCTGCTGGAAGAAGGTCTGACAGTACGGCGACTTGCCGAAGTACGGGCCCCGGAAGAGGGGTATGTTCTTCGCGTCCGTGCGGTGCCAGTTCCGAAGTCGCTGCCAGGTCAGGTTGAAAACCCGCCTCGGGAGCAGCTTCGTGGCGTCGAACTTGACCACCTCGGCGTGCTCCCACGCCCTGCCGACCTCCGACGGCTCCACGAGCTGCTCCTTCAGCGGGCGAGCGTCGGCCTCCTTGTACCACTCCAGGATCTCCTGGCCGAACTCGAACAGCATCTCCCTGTCGCTCTTGACGGGGAGGTCGACGCGGCACTCGTCGGGGCCCTCCTCCAGGTCGAATCTCTTGCTCAGGGAGCTGCGCAGCTCCCCCCTGTCGTGCAGCTTCTCCACCCTGGAGCGCACCTCTGGATCGATGGTCTTCCAGACCGCCCTGCACGACTCAACGAAAGCCTTGACCTTCGCGTCCGAGGTCTGTGAAAACGCGTCCATGTAGAATTCTATGAAGAACGCCACGTCGAAGCATATCAAGCCGACCTTGTCCGTGGGAAGTGGGAAGTCTGCCTCGGACTGCCTCAGCATGTCCATTAACTCTCCCGACTTCAACGCAGTCTCGATCTTCTTGTGAAATGGCGTCCTGTACAACTTCGTCGCCCCCTTCCCGTCGATCGACTGCACCTTCGCGGAGAACAAGTCCTGCAGCATAGCATTGATGTCCTCGGGCACGACCCTGACAGGCTTGGGCTTTGCCTTAGCATTGGCCTTCGCCTTCCCTTCGGCAGTCGGCTTTGCCCTGGCGTCTGGCTTGGCATTTTGCTTGGCCTTGGGCTTGGCCTTGGGCTTCGCCTCGGGTTTGTTCTTGGTCTCTGGATTCTTACCCTTTGCTTTGGCCTTGGGCTTCACCTTCGCCTCTGGCTTGACTTTTGCCGCAGACTTGGCCGCCGCCTTGCCGCCCTTGGGCTTCGCCTTGGGCTTAGCTACCCCTGGCTGCCCCACCACCGCATGATGCTGCCAAAAAGCTAGCAACACTCGGCCACCGTGCCCCCTGGCACGTTGAGGCGTGCTAGAATGCCAACTGCACCCTGGCAGTGTTTCTGCTAAGCCGCCCCTCCTGTCCACAGACTGCCCCGCTCGCACCGCCCGGTCACAAGGCAAAAATCCAAGATTCGCACCCCCAAGACCACAATCTTCCATAGAATGCAAGAAGTTCGCGCACCGAGGCCACAACCCATTGCAAAATACTGCAGGGTCGCACTCCGGCGGCCACAATCCCTTGTAAAATGCGACAAATTTGCGGCCCGAGGTCACAGTACGTTGCAAAATACTGCAGATTCGCGCCCTCGAGGCCAAGACGCCTCCAAGGACCCCCCAAGATGTCTCTGAGACTGCCCCAGGTGGCCCCACGACTGTCCAAAATGGCCTCGCGACGGCCCAGGGCCCTGAAGGCCGCGCAAGAAGGCTCCAATAGGACCGTCCCGAGAGCCCGACGAAGCAAAATCAACGATTTTGATAGTGAGACGGAAGATGACACCTGTGACGGCCTCAATTTTCCTCGTCATCCTGATAATCCTGCTCCTGCAACTGCTCCTCCTCATCCTCGTCCTCGTCCTCGTCCTCGTCCTCGCCCTCCTCTCCTCCTCAACCTCCTCCTCCTCCTCCTCCTCCCTCCTCCTCCTCCTCCTCCTCCTCCTCCTCCTCCTCCTTCCTCCTCCTCCCTCCTCCTCCCTCTCCTCTCCTCCCTCCTCCTCCTCCCTCCTCCTCCTCCTCCTCCTCCTCCTCCTCCTCCTCATTCTCATCCTCATTCCTCATCCTCATCCTCATCATCATCAGCAGCATCATCATCAGCATCAGCATCAGCATCATCATCAGCAGCAGCATCTGCATCATCAGCAGATCATCAGCAGCAGCATCATCAGCATCATCATCATCTCGTCACCACCACACCACACCATCATCGTCACCACCACCACAACCACCACCATCATCATCATCATCATCATCATCATCATCATCATCATCATCATCATCATCATCATCATCATCATCATCATCATCATCATCATCATCATCATCATCATCATCATCATCATCATCATCATCATCATCGTCATCATCATCATCCTCATCTCATCATCATCCTCATCCTCATCCTCATCCTCATCCTCATCTCATCATCATCATCTCATCATCATCATCATCATCATCCGCACCTCATCCTCATCCTCATCCTCATCCTCATCCTCATCATCATCATCATCACCATCATCATCATCATCTCAATCATCATCATCAGCATCAGCATCAGCATCAGCATCAGCATCATCATCATCATCATCATCAGCATCAGCATCATCATCATCATCATCATCATCATCATCATCATCAGCATCATCATAATCATCATCAGCATCATCATCGTCATCATCGTCATCATCATCAGCATCCTCATCATCATCATTATCATCAGTATAATCATCGTCATCGACATCGTCATCGTCATCATCATGCGCATTGGTACATTGGTATCATGCTACTCATCGTCATCAACATCGTCACCATAATGGTCATCAGGATCAACGTCGTCATCATCATCATCATCATCATCATCATCAGCATCAGCAACATCATCATCATAATCATCATCATCGTCATCATCATCAATATCATCAGTTTCATAATCTTCAGCGACATCGTTATCGTTATGACCACTATCGTAATCAGCAGCAGTGTCATCATCGGAATCATCAGCATTATCATCATCATCATCATCGTCATCATCATCATCATCATCATCATCATCATCATCATCATCGTCATCATCATCATCATCATCATCATCATCATCATCATCATCATCATCATGATCAGCATCATCGTCATCATCATTATTATCATCATCATCGTCGTCAGCATCGTCATCATCACCAACAACGTCACCACCACCGTAACCACCGCAATTAGTATCATCAGTAACATCAGCATCAGCAGCAGCAGCATCAACACCATCATCAGCATCATCAGCATTATCATCATCAGCAGCATCATCATCATAATCGACGTCCACAGTATCATCATCATCATCATCATCAGCATCATCATTGTCATCATCATCAGAATCGACATCATCATCGTTGTCATCCACATAATCATAGTCAGCATCGTAATAATCAGCATCAACATCGTCATCATCGTCATCATCATCGGCATCCACATCATCATCATCATCATCATCATCATCATCGTCATCATCAGCATCATCATCATCATTCAGTATCGTCATCATCATCATCATCACCTTAATCGTCATCGTCGACAACAACAGCAACATCAGCATCACGATCCTTATCATCATCACCATCCCAACACAACCATCATCATCAGCATCATCGTCGCCATCCGCATCATCATCATCATCATCATCAGTATCATCATCATCATCATCATCATCAGCATCATCATCATCATTATCATCGTCGTCGTCGTCGTCGTCGTCAGCATCACGGCTCTCCCAAGTCTAGAGACACGAGGTGTCACACGTGACGGCCTTCCGTGCCCCCTCGAACAGTTGCCATCCAGAGTGCTGGGCTGGCAAGGTGGCGGGACTTGCCCGAGGCAGCTGGATATTATCAACGAGCAGCGCTGGAAAATCATGATTGCGCCCTCCCCGCCGTGCTGGGCACCCCTTGGGCCATAACGGCTACGGAATAGTGCTTTGGACTTATCTGCCACCATGCCGCGAGGCACTGAGCGGAACTTCCCCAGGCCGCGTCAAGGTCAGTGTTCGAAGGATTGCAGATACTCTTCAACTAGAACCACGCGCGCGCTGAAGTTCTAGCCGCGCCCAAGGAACTCGCATCGCTATTTGCCAATGAGGAATGCAGGGGCGATTCTGGAGATCTTTCGGGGGTGGTAGAGGGACCTGCGGCAACGAACTTTTGGGATCCCGACGACGTGTCGGGGAGTCACGGAGCCTATTCGACGTTTCTTGCGCTTCCTTGGGTCCACCCGAGGACCGGCGGAGGAGGCGGAGGAGGAGCATAGCAACGAAAACTGTGCCCGAGTCTGGCTCCGAAATACACGCCATCAAGGCCACACCATGGAGTATCGAAAGCCACCCGCTCCCTTCCTGGCCACGCATCTGAGGCCAAGCAAAGGCACAACGAAGTCAAGAAAACCCATCCGGGTCTCACCGACAGGAGGCCTCCAATTCGATGATTCTGGCTTCTCGGGGGGCAGTATTGAAGAGCTTCCGCGCCCTCCAGACGTCCATGGGTCGTCTTGAAGCCTCTTGGACGCCTGCCGGAAATTCGGTATGGGGGCCTTTGGCGTCCGCTTTTGGAGCCGTCTTGGGAGCAGCCTGGGCCATCTTGGAAACCTTGGGACCGTTTGGAGGGCCTCTTCGGCTGTCTTGGAGCCCTCTTAGGGCCGCGCTGGGGCCATTTTGGGCCAACCTTGGGCCATCTTGGGGTCCTCTTGGATATCTTGGGCCGGTTTATGCTTCGTCGGGTGCCCTCCCAGGACATTTGAGCCGCTGTAGGGGCCCTCATTGGGCCCTCTTGAATTGTCTGAGGCCCATCTTGGGCCCTGTTAGGGCTCTTTTGGGCCTGGGCCGTCTAGGAGCGAGCTCGAAGGTCGTTTGGGCCGTCTTGGGCGCAGGGCTCTCGAAGCCCGCTCGACGTCATCCTTTAGGATCCCTGTTTGGGGCGGTTTGGGAGGCTTCGTGAGTCGTTTGGGGGGCATCATCGGCCGTCATGGGGCCCTGTTGGGCCGTCTTGACGCACTCTTGGAGCCAGGCCCTTCCCTGGCGATCTTGGCATGCCCTTGCGCCGTCTAAGGATGTCGGAAGTCCAAAATTGCGAGCCTGCTGAAATACTTCTTTCCGAGGTCCTGCAAAAAGGTGTCCAGCAAGGACTCACCAATCGGAGGACTGGTGGGATGTGCAGCGCTGCGGGACCTCTCGACTGGCGTCCCTGGCCAGAGCGCGTATAGGGCAAAACCGCCCAAGCGCGAGTCGCAATGCACAACTCGGGCTGCTGCTGCTACCGCCTAGCGATCCTACAACGATAGCTCCTTTCCACGGTCCTGCAAGGAGGTCTCCAGCAAGGACTCGCCAATCGGAGGTCGATGTAACCTCATGGTGGCAATAACATTAAGATCGAAGGAGAGATAATGCACCAACCGGCAAAATACAACAGCAAACAAAATGCACCAGCCGGCAGAAAGCTCCAGAGAGGGAGAGGTGGCAGGAGGCAGATAACCCGAGAGTTCTAACGGTGACCTAACATGAAATCTCACCACCGAATTTATCACTTGGGGCCTTGGTGGTCACCTGCTGTCATCCGCGGATCTGGGCGTCGGTGGTTTAGGGAGTTTCCTCTTCCACCCCTCCTTCTTCCCCTTCGGGGAGGGGTTTAGCCCTCCCCCTACCCGCTCCCCTGGACCTGGACAGGGGGTGTCGCGGTGTCGGAGCGTCCAAAACGGCCTCGGCGAGGAAGCAAACATTATTGATTTTACTACGGTTTTGGCCCCATTTTGGCCTCCTGAAGGGGGGACTGTAATTAGTACCCCCCCCCTCCTGTGATCGATCTCACCCTAAATGGCCCAAACATGGCCCCAAAGGCTCCCAAGGGCGCCCCAAGAGGGCCCAAGAGGTGGCCAGAAGCCCCAGGAGACCCCCAGGATGTCCCCAACAGGCTCACAAGAGACCCCCAAGAGGCCCCAAATGACCCCCCAGAGGCACCCAAGATGTTCCAAGAGGCCTCGGCGAGAATGCGAAATCACTGATTCTACGAAGGTTTTAGCCACATGATGGCCTCTTGGGGGGGGGCACTGATTGAGATGACTCCAGGAGCGCCTGGGCGAGCCCACAATGACCTCCAAGATGGCTCAAGATATCCCAAGATGTCTCATAATGGCTTCCTCTGTGTGCTGCCCACTTCCCTGATCGAGGCAATTCGTCTGGGCATCGCTTCTGGATGGGCAAGTGGGAATTATTTTTTCGGTCGCGTCCGCTAGCGAAGGCGCTAGCGGAGTCAGAAGTGCTCCGGGACACGAAGGCGGCCTAATTAGCTACTAAACGCGCCGCAGGCCGGCCGGCCCACTCACCCAGCAGGGGCCGACTGCGTGGGGGAGACGGCGAGCTGAGGGCGTCCAGAGAAACTCGGGCACTTGCAGCCCAGCAAAATGCTGGAAAATTAAGGTTGTGCCGTGAGGCAAGACCCACACGAAGCACGAGGACGAGTGCGGCAGACTGCGTGTCCAACATGCCCGGTGGGCGTCCAGGGGTGGTAAGCGATGGGCGAGTCGCCAGTGGGGCGCCAAGCCCAGGTCGCGCCAACGGCGTGTGCGAGCCAGCTGAGCTGCTCCGCCGAGGAACGTCGAAAACCAGCCTGGAAGGTGGGACAGGCCCGGGGGAGCGGCCGCGGCTGCGAAGGCTGCACCACTCGAAACTGCCCGAACTCCAAGGGCCACCAACCCGCGCACCACGGGGAAGGCCCTGGGACTCCAGAGGGCCGACCCTTCCATCAGCTGCGCGAAAGCCGGCTGATGTACTGCGCGAGAGAGGCCAAGCTGGCGGGGAGGAACATCACCAGCGAGGCGGGGAAATCCAGAGTAGAGCTGCACGATAGCTGCCTGCATGATGCACGCAGGAAGGCCACCGTCGGGGCACTGCCTTACCCGTCGAATCTGTCATTCCCCGCAGGGATCCAGGGTCGCAGCTAACCGCCGCTGTGAGTGAGGTAAAGTTACCGCCATCAGCACGGGGTCCTGGGAAGCCCTTGGGCGGGGGGACGATCGCCCCCGCGAACCAGGGGGCTGCGAGCCTGGCAGCAGCCCAGGAAGAGACCCGAGGGGAGGGGCGGTGGGGACAGACATCACCGACCCTCCACGCGGGGGGGGTCCCATCTGGCGAGAGCGGGGACAAGGAGAACGACCGCCCCGCGATCCAGGGGCAGGTGAACCCGGCCTCAGCCCGGCCCAAGAGGGACCCGAGGAGAGAGGCGGTGGAGACAGATATCACCGATCCTCCACACGAGTCCCAGGGGCACCTGACCAGGGGGCGATGAAGCCAGGGCCAGAACTCCAAGGACGCGGCCAACTGCAGCGCAGGGCCGCTCCACTCGTCCAGGATGGCCTTCGGCCTCGCTCGCGTCGACGTCCAAGGGAAAGCCAGGGTGACGGCCAGCTGCCGTCTGAGAAGCTGTCGGCATCCTTCCCCGGGAGTACGACGGCGGTCCGTGTGAGATACGGGTGGGCATGGCAACCATCTGCATGAGATAGGGAGGGGCGGTCACCACCGGGCACTGCCTTGCTCGTCGTATCCGACATGGGGGGTCCAGGGTCGCAGCGAACCGCCGCTGTGAGTGAGGTAATATTACCGAAGGGTCGGGCTTCCCGCCCACTATTGGCGCGGTCCAGGGTGGGCAGACTGCAGCCCGCTGAAAGACTTGCTGTCTGGCAGCGCTGCTGCCCCGAAGGCCGACGCATCCGTGGGGACACTGTGTCCCAGTTGATCCAGGGTCGCAGCTAACCGCTGCTCAGTGTTAAGAGAAGAGAGTGGGGCGGACCCAAGGGCGGCGAGGCCAGCAATGGGCCAAGGAGAAACGGGATGCCCAGGGAGGGATGGTCCAGGGGCCTGTTACCTTTGGCAGCACGGGCGGCCACCGCAGCCCGCTGCCTCGACGCCCCAATGGGGTGCACGACTGCAGCGGTACGGGGCTGACTTCCTTGCCGCGAGGCCCTCCTGTCCCAGGGGCAAGGTGGTCATAATCTGGCGCCAGCGGCGCGTCAAAACTGAGACCCGGCTGGGTCTTGCCCGAGGCAGCAGCCAGGCAGGAGGAGGGGGTGCTGGGGGGCCCACCTCCAATCCAGGGTGCCGCGGGGCAGGCTGTCGACATCGGACAGCAAAGTCTAGTTGTCTGAAGCTTCTACAGGCCTGAGCCAGCCGTGGCCCAAGAGGGCCAGCGAGGGTGAGATGTCGGGCGCACGCGGGGGATAGCCTCGTCGGCGAGCCCGAAAATGTGGCAAGTAGGCCACTTGTCCAGCGAAGGCTGTCAAGCTAAGCTGCGCCATGGGTGATATGGGGGGTGAGCCCCCGCCCCAGCGGAGGGCGGCCCCGAGCATTACAACCTGGGCCGGGCGCAGCGAGGTGAAACGGGCCCCTTCGGGGCCACGGGTAGCGGGAGGTGGAGGGACCCTGGGTCCTCCCTGGGTTGATGCCTGTACCTGGGAGTCAGTAAGCCATGGTGCACAGCTCAATGGCGGGAGCAAGTCAACCTTGGATGGCGGAGTCGCTCTTGGCCCACCAGCGGGCTCGCTTTTCGGAGTCGCGGTCGTCCCCACGTGGAGAGTCCCGTTTGCCCCCGCCTTTCCAATCGGAGTCCGTCCATGGGGTGTCGCGACGTTCCCATGAGGACCATCCCTGCCAGCCCCGCCAGTGGTCGGGGGTGGCCGTTCCGATGGCGCCTGCCCAGGGGCCCCGTGCCGCTGCTCGCGCGACCGCCCGGCCCTCGGCTGTCCAGGGAGCCGGCGCGTCGCGGCCGCCGTGTGCGCGAGGGGCGCGCGCGGGGGCGTCGTGTCGCACAAAGAAATTCATGTGCCTGCGCCGGATTTCGACCCAGTCTACGCCGAGTCCGAGCACATGATCCATCCGGTATGCGTCGTAGCCAGCGTTGGCCCAGGCTCCCATGAAGTCCGCG